TCTCCATGTGTTTTAAAGCCGCTCCCAGTCGCCGCTGTGAATAGCGGTAACAGCCCGGCCCCGGGCGGGGCGCTGCTGGAGGTGCTGCTGGCGGAGGTAAAGCTGCTAAAAATAATATTGGGGTTTTTTTTCTTCTCTCCTTTTTTTGCCTTCCCCTCTCCCCCCCCCGCCACCCCTAGAGAACACGGTTGACTGGAGTTAAGGTGGTTTCGTTTCCTGGAGGTAGATGGTGAAACCGGCCGCTTTAGAGAACATTCCCGTCTGTCTGAGAAGTCCGTTCTCATGTTTGTACTGTGTTCAGCCGCCGCTTCTAGGTCAAAGTGACATACTGGGCCAAAGAAATGGTGGTTATTTCTTAGTTGCAGCACGTTTGTCCTCAGCCCGTTTGAGGACACTTGCAGCGGGGCAGGCAAAGCCGCGGCTGTGTGCGCAGCGCTCGGCTCTGCCTCCTTGTGACGCCGGGTTTGCCTTAAACATAGAAAAATTCCTGAGAAAAATTGAAACTGAGCAGACCTCATGTCTTGAAATTTGATCATTCTAGTAGCTGCATACACTGTGATCTTCAGCTACATTGCATGTGGAGAAATAGGTGTAGGGTTGTGCCTCGACACTGCCGTTTGTTCAAGCTGAACGACTGTAGCTCCAGCCAATATAAAAGGGAAAAAACCAAACAAACCCCCCAGTACCTTAATTTTTGATATTTGTTGTATAATGAAATCTATAGTATGTTTCATTGTGTTATAAAGTACTTAAATCTGATTGTTACCTGGAAGCGACTCTTTGAATCTCATTTTCCCCTAGATTGTAAAAAGAAGTATGTTTTCAAAAGCTAAATTCACACTATCAGCTGAAATGCTAATGTGTTGGAATTAAAAATGTCTGATTATGGTATATTTACTGTCCTTCTATTATTTCTATTGCATTTTCACTGTTGTATTAAAAAATATTAAGCTTAGTAATTATTTCAACTATTTAGCAATGATCAGCGATTGGAAAGGCTTTTTGAAGTACTAGTGGTTATAGAAGACATGCTCCAAGAGACCTTTTTCTTGCCCCAAACACCATTCTGCATGTTGTTGGTGATACAGTTGCCCTTGCCTTGTGAAGATGTGTCATTTCTAGCTGTGGAAGAACACTGGAAAGTGACGTTTGTCGAGTGGGTGATTTATATCAGGAATAATTATTAATATTGTTGTGCATTTTTCTTGGGCCAGCTTTGTCACATTCCTGCAATTCACTGTTTTGAGCAGCAAACTGTTTCCAGTGTTGGCTCATAGCAGCCGTTCTGGTAGTGGTTGTGTTGGTGCGATGTCTTACAGGTGGAGTAAACATATATAGTAAACTTATATTGTGAGTTAACATCTCCATAAGCTGTAGTAGACCTTCAAATGACCATTGCTCTGTTTATCAGGCCATGCACAAACATTTTTATATTAATTCTATAAAATTAATAATGACATTTACCAGGATTCTTCTTTTCACAGACATCGAGGTGTTTTGGTGAATTAGAAGTACATAAATTATACTTACATTCAGCTCACATGATTGCTCTGAAAGTCAGCAAATAGTCTATGGCAAGCATACAGAAAAAAATATTTTTGGCTAGCAAAAGGTTGAGCATGTAATATTGCATTAGCAACTCATTTTTCAGTGGAAGACATAAATCTGGGAAATTAATTGAATGAGTATTTTTGCATTTTGTGGAAGTTGAAGTAATTTCTGTGTAATCTGTAAAGACTCAGAGTTTTAAAAAGTGCATAAACTGGTATAAATAAAAGTGTGCTGGAAACTTTTTCAGACGCAAAATAGCCAGGTAAGACTTTGACAAAGATGGCTAAGATTGAGGTGCTGAGAACTCTTTTTAGGGGAGCAGGTACTTGTACTTCCCCTCTCAGTTGTTGTCAGTTCTTTGCTTCATTCCAGCCAGATTTTTCAGTCTTCCTACAACAGACCCAGACCTGTTTGTTCAGAGGGAGTCTTTCATCCCAGCCTTTTGTCCCAAGCTCAGAGAGCCCATATTTCTTTACAGCTCTAATGTGAGACACACTGCCTTTGTAGTCTTTTTAGTACCCCAGAACACACACAGAAAAAAAAAAGGAAAAAATGAGCAGTGTAATTGAAGACTCTTTTTTTTTTTTTTCCTTTAGCTATAAACTTAATTTTTGTTAATTTAATAGGTTTCATCAGGTTAAATTCTGTACTGCAAGCAAAGTTCACTACACAATTGTGCTCCTTTCAATGCTGACTTGCAAAAGATCTGATGATTACTCAATTCTAACATTAGTTGTCTCAAGTAAGACCCAAAGTCCTTGAAAAGAAAAGCTAAACGATGGTCCATTGCAGAACTTATTTCTTTCCTCCTCCATTCTTTTATACCATTCAGGTCTGAAAAGTGCTTTGTTTAGAAAACAAGCTTTCTGTGATCAATACTATTGCTTATTGCTTTTTTACCCTGCCTGGTAGGAGTGGATAGCTTTCTGTAATGGGTCTAGTCTCTTGGCAAGTAATAGCAGGTGCTAGTGGCCCTGCAGCTCCACATTCTGTCGGAATCAGTTTAAGTGCTGAGGAAAATAATAGTTGTGTTGGCCAGTTTGTATAACGAATTTCCTTTGCACAGTATGTAATAATGTTTATTCTGGACAGACCCAGGGTTCATCTAGTTCGAGATCTTGTTTCCATTAGTAGTCGACAGGCCCAGTGACAAAGCTTGACTCAAGACTGTCAGATAATCCATAAGTGCAGATGCTTTTCAGGTCACAATTTGAACGTTTGCATACTTTTGAAGAGGTAGTTCCACCTCAAAAATTTGTTAGAATTAGACTTTTGATTATTCTACTGTTTGTCAGAGCACTTCCTGAAGAAGCAGTGTCACAGAAGAAGTAATACTACTGTCACAGAAAAGGAGTAACATTGTAATTTACTAAAATCGCCCGGGCTGGGCAATCCCATACATGAATACAGGCTGGTAGGAGTAAGGATTGATGGACAGCCCAGAGAAAGACTTGGGGGTAGTGGTGGACCAGAAGTTTAACATGAGCCATCAATGTGCACTTGCAGCCCAGAAAGCCACTGTGTCCTGGGCTGCACCAAAAGAAGCACAGCCAGCCAGTCGAGAGAGGTGATTCTGTCCCTCTGCTCTGAGACCCCACCTGGAGCACTGTGTTCAGTTCTGGAGCCCCCAACATAAGAAGGACACAGAGCTCCTTGTGTGTGTTCAGAGAAGAGCCACGAAGATGTTCAGAGGGCTGAACACCTCCCCTATGAAAACAGGCTGAGGAAGGTGGAGTTGTTCAGCCTGAAGAAGAGGAGGCTCTGTGGTGACCTTATAGCAACTTTCCAATATCTGAAGGGGGCCAACAAGAAAGCTGGGGTAGGGCTTTTTACACGGGTGTGTAGTGAGAGGACAAGGGGCGATGGTTTGAAGCTTAGAGAGGAGAGATTCAGGTTGGACATTAGGAAAAAGTTATTTCCTGTGAGGGTGGTGAGATGCTGGAACAGGTTGCCCAGGGAGGCTGTAGATGTCCCTGTCCCTGGAGGTGTTCAGGGCCAGGTTGGATGGGGCTTGGAGCAGCCTGATCTGGTGGGAGGTGTCCCTGCCCGTGCAGGGGGCTAGGACTGGATGATCTTGAAGGTCCCTTCCAACCCTAGCTATTCTATGAAAATAATTTATACTTAGCAATATTAATTATCTCCAATAGCATGTATGTGATAACACCAGGTATTTCAATTCTGCAGCCATCTCAGCCTAGAGATGCAGATGGTGTTGCTCTGTGCTGCAACTTGGTGTCCCTTGCAGTCTGTTTTTCTGCCTCTTGTAGCTCCCTTGCCACTGCTGGTCAGTCAGATTTCATGTGTCGATGAGGAGGTCCTTGCTGGAGGGTTTTGTCACTGACGTGGTAGCTGAAATGGCAGCAATGTTAATGTTGGGACATCTGGCCCCTGTGCCCCTGGCAGGCCGTGCCACCACGAGGAAGCACTGCCCTGAAGGGAAGAGGGAAGGAAGGAGGTGAGAACAAGCCCCTTTTTAGCTCTCCTAAGGGGAGCTCGTGGTAGCCAGGTAGTGTGGCTGAGCTGGAGGCGGAAGAGGAGGCCAAGGCCAAGGGCCTCACTGGCTGGTGTGTCACTTAGTAACTAGTAAGTTTTGGCGTATTGCCTTTCTGTGCTGAAAGAAATAGCTTTACTAACAGCACCCTCTGGTGAGTCCTGCAGTAGAATAAACAGAGGATTAGAAGGAGGAGCCTGTATTTAGCCATAGCTGCATCAGTTCTTTTTTTTTTGTCTGCAAAACATTCGCTGTTTTCTGCACTGACTGCATAATGCAGCTCCCCACAGTCTAACTCCTCACGTAGCTTTTAGAGATCCAAGGATGCTTTTTAGAGAATGTTTCTACTCTAGCTATGCAGAACTGCCCCTCCACTCTAATCAAGATGACTCGAGAAATGCAAACATCAACTGTTTTTTAGTCCTTATTGGCGAGGGGGGAGGAGTAAGGAATAAAAAGATGTAGTTGTCAACCCAAAAGCCAGCTTTTAAATTCACATCTGCTTTGACTGCCTCTTGGACTTCTCCTTGCTCTGATTCCCACCCAAGTGCTGTTGCAGACAATACTGTGCCAACAAAAAAACAGCTAGCATGAATATTAGTCTATAAGGTGTGTGTCTGAACTAAGCTGCCCACTGTAAGCACTACAAATAATAAGTAAAAATATTGTAGCTTAAGTATTTCCCTGCTCTTTAGTATGATGTAAACTGCACGAAAAAAGTATGCTGCCAAACTAAAGCACTAAGTAGACACACATTTTCTGCATTTAAGATTCTTCTTGGACCCTTTTGGGAAAGTTGGGATGTTTCTAAGGAATATGCACACACAAAGACACCACAAATAAATGAATAATTACATAACAAAATGCAGCATCTGTAACAGTTCTTTTGGGCAGTTTCCAGTGCATAAGGCTGAATATACATCCAGTTAACTGGATTTTCTCTGTAAACAGTGCCTTTTATTTCTGCATTTCTTAATTGGGCATGTGTAATTAATTAAATGATGCTTGCATGTAAATACCCTTTTACCATTTGCAGTTGCATTCTGCAATTACGGTGCTTTCAAACTAGGTTAAACTTGCATCTCCTTAATGTGCAACTTCATAACCCACCAAGCTCCTTCATGATTTTTGACAAATGTTAGCTGAGACAAAAAGCAGCTCTTGAATACCCTGAAGAACCACATCATAAAATTGCTGAATATATATATATGCACATACACACACATATATTTATGAATCTACTGCATAGATTACATCATTGCCTCAATCATAAGGGACCAATTAATAGTTGGGTTTTTTTAATGTTTCATTAGGCTAGCACTAAGAACTTTATACATTTACCATGTCAAATTAGTATGTATCTATATACACTAGTCTACATGATTTGCTTTCAAGAATCCAGTGTGGCTTGATATATGTACCTCTCACTGTAATTAGAAAAAAAAAAAAGTCTAAATGCAGCTGGATAGCAAATGCTTGTATGTAAAAACACAGGGCTATCTTTATGCATGAGGATTCTTACCTTCCTAATACCATGCCTCTAAGATATACTGACTGCTAACAGTGGAACATACAGAAGTGAGAACACAAAGGTGTCAAAAACCTCAAGTAAAATGTTGGGAGGATACATGTGGCCTGAACTTTTACTTCAAAGTAAAACAGAAGTCCACTTGGGGTCAACATGCCCACAATTTCCCAGGAGTTATGTGCAGATTAATTCTCACTAATGAGTAATTCTTTAAATGCAAACTCAGGGTGTTCAGTCATGGGGTGTAGGTGCTCGAAGACACATCACCAGCTTTTCCATTTTAACATCTGTGGCTGGGTATGGCTTCAGGTTTCAAGTTTTCACCCATCTCCTGCAACTTAAGAGAGCTGTGCACAAGCATCAATTGGTGTAGTGCCCTGCCTGTCTCTGCAGGGTACAGCACTCACATTATGTAAGAAGATTATCTTTCAGTAGCCAGTTACTGATGTTCCCCTCTACTCCTTCTTAGGGGTAGAAGCCCTTGTAGTGTTAGACTGAAATGCAAATAAAATGAAGCAATTCATAAAGATTCTTTTGTTGTTGTTGTTGGGGTTTTTTTTCACCTTGTCAACATTTACCAGAATTCAAGTTGAAGACTTCGGGTATTTTGTAGATTATTATTATTTTTTTTCCCCTCCAGCAGTTGAGCTGCATCAAGCCAAGGTTTCCTTCAGCATCAAATGTTTGTTCAGAGCTTGTTACTGCTGTGATCTTGCTGCCACCCATCACTTTCTTTCAGGTTCTGACACCTATGACCTGCAGGTGATCATCTCCCAGTGCCCCTGATTAAGGAAGCAAATAGTGCCAAATGCATAAATGCTTATTTGAGGAAGGGTTTTACTAAGCAAGAGTTTGTATTGTGTTTTATCATTATTATGCCACAGGAGCAATGGTTCACCAGTGTTTTCCTTCTCTTTTTCAGCTATTTGTATCGTGAGAATGGCAAGGATTCGGATTCCTAGCGCAATTGTTATACTTCTTGTTGCAGTTCAGACTGTGTTCTTACTCTTCATGTGTGCCCGGTACAGTAACTTCATGCCTCAGTCTGAGCAGAAACCATCTCAAGTCCACATCCTCATTCTCTCCTCCTGGCGGTCAGGATCTTCTTTTGTTGGTCAACTTTTCAGCCAGCACCCCAACGTCTTCTACCTGATGGAACCTGCCTGGCACGTGTGGGTTACAATGTACCAGAACAGTGCTAAAGTCTTGCACATGGCGGTGCGGGACCTGGTCAGGTCGGTCTTTCTGTGTGACATGTCTGTGTTTGATGCTTACATGCCTTGGAAAAGAAATTTATCTGATCTTTTCCAGTGGGCAGTGAGTCGGGCTCTGTGTTCAGCTCCTGCTTGTGACTCCTTTCAACGTACTGACATAACCAGTGAAATGGCATGCAAGACTCTTTGTGGACGGTACCCCTTCAGCAAGGTGGAGGAAGCCTGTAAAACTTACAGCCATGTTGTCATCAAAGAGGTTCGGTTCTTTGACTTGAAGGTCCTTTACCCTCTTCTCACTGATCCATCCCTGAATCTCAAAATTATTCATTTGGTTCGTGACCCCAGGGCAGTTGTCAAGTCACGGGAGCAATCGGTTAAAGCATTAGCTCGTGACAATGGAATTGTTTTGAGTACCAATGGCACTAAAGTGGAGGACAGCAAATACAAAGTAATGCAAGAGATATGTAGAAGTCATGTTCAGATTTATGAAACGGCTACTCTAAAACCACCTAATTTCCTTAAAGATCGCTACTTAATGATCCGGTTTGAAGATCTGGTAAGAGATCCATTATCAGAAATCTCAGAAATGTACAAATTTGCAGATCTTAATTTGACCCCCACACTTAAAAGCTGGATCTATAATATCACACATGGACAGGGACCAGGAAAAAAAAAAGAAGCCTTCAAAATCACATCTCGAGATGCAATTAGTGTTTCACAGGCCTGGAGAAATGTTCTTTCCTTCCAGAAAATTAAGAAAATACAGGAAGTATGCAAAGGTGCTATAAACATGCTTGGTTATCAGCTGGTGGATTCAGAAAAGGAGCAAAAAGATCTGTCATTGGATTTAGTATTGCCAAGACGACAAAATCAATTCAGTTGGTCATCATTTAATCCAAAGCACTGAGACGTTATTTTTGAGAGACCAGGGGACGCATGGCGGGGGCGGGGAGGACTGAGTATTTGCCTATGGTGCAGGTAATTTGAAAAACCTTGGCTGATGAGTTTAACTATTTTCCTGTCTGCTGTTTTTCCTAAATGGAAGGAGTTTTCTTCTGAGTTTCTTACACTGCAAAACCAAACAAAAAACATGAGAAAAGCTGTGAGATACTTGTCGAGTTGCAAATTTACAGCCGAGCTGTGTTGTTCTCAGCATTCTTTTAAAAATATAATGGAAGTAATTTAAAAAAAAAAAAAATGAATTGTCAAAGATGTCTTTTTTCATTGGTAATAGTTCACTTCTGTTTTCATGCTGTAAGTATTTAAGAATATCAATTTTTTATACGTATAAATGGAACACAGTAGAAACTAAATTCCTTCTCTTTCTTCCAGAATCACTTGACTTTCTTCTTTTGCTTTAAAGTTGTTGTGCAGTTGTGTAATTTTTTTAAACTTCTCTTTATGTTTTTCATTTTAACATAAAAGTTCTGCAAGAGCTGCGGCAACTGCAGCAAGTTCTGTTGTAAAGGGCTTAAGCGAGAACTTCATTTACTGGTGGATTCTGTAGTGCTTTCCTGGGAATGGCAAGCTCTGCAATCAGGTATTTGAAGGCCATGTTGCCATGGAGTGTTAAAAAAAAAAAAAAAAAAGGTTAAGAAACTTTGAGCAGAGTCACTGTGGAAGCTGCTTGTTAATGCTGCCCCAATTGCACATTCTAGCGCTGAGACACAGAGCAGGCACAGGCCCTGCAGCACTGTCCATGCTGCTGCCCTCTCTCTTCAGAACAACAAGTAGTTGGTGAAGATCACTGAGAAATTTAAGGTGCCTTGGAAATCCGCATTATGATTGTACTGCTATATGGAAGTGATCAATTCAAACAGCTTTGGTAGTGGATATGGACACTTGTGTGCAGGGTTTTTGTTTTTTTCATTTGGCACACCTCAGGATGGAGTTCCTGTACGACACCAGGCAATCCTGATAGGGCTAACTGAAGAATGTTGTGCTATCGTGCATTTATGATGAGCACAAAAGCTCCTCAGTGCCACTACTGTCATCTGCTGTAAGAGATTGATGCTCCTAGTCCTCTAGATGCTGGGAGGTGGAATGCTGGAGGCTGTGTCTCCTTGCAAGGGTTCTCTAGGGCCACAGCCTTCTGGGGATTTTCCTAAGTGTTCCCAGAGTGATTGTGGGGCCTGTGGAGCTGTGTTGTCATTATTTGTTTGTTTGTTTGTTTGTTTTGTTTTGTCTTGGTGGCTTTTCCAGGAACTCTGAGGTTGAGCTGGCATCTCTGCTGCATTCCTTGGCTCTTTGGGTGCCATTTGCTTACTTCAGGTTATATGGGGCTTCTTCCCTGTGTCAGAGAATCTGGAGTTTTTGCATGGGAAAGGTATCTGAGCTATATTATATAGCATAGAAGGTCTTTTGGGCTGGACATACTGAAGAGAGTCCGTTGAAGGCCACTGAGGTGACAAAGGGACTGGAGCATATCTTGCATGAGAGAAGCCTGAGTGAGCTGGGAATGTTCAACCTGAAGAGAAGGCGTCTTGGGCGTGAGGAGTGGGATATCAACGTAGATAGATACCTGAAAGGAGGGTGTGAAGAAGACAGAGCCAGGTGCTTTTCAGTGGTGCCCCGTGATGGCACAGGAGGTGATGGGCACAAATGGAAGAACAGAGGTTCCCTCTGAACATCAGGAAGTCCTTCTTACTCTGTGAGTTATGGAGCACTGGCGCAGGTTGTCCAGAGAGGCTGTGGAGTCTCCCACCTTGGCAATATTCAAAAGTCACCTGAATCTGGTCCTGGGCAGCCGGCTATTGGTGGCCCTGCTTGAGCAGGGTGGACCTCCAGAGGTCCCTTCCCACCTCAACCATTCAGGAGTCACTACTGTCATCTTCAGGGCCCTTAGCTACCACAGGCATGAGGAACTTGCTTCAGGCCCCAAGGCCATCCACAGTGCCTACTGCTTTATTCCAGCCATAGTGCTCATGAAGAAGCAGAGCAGGTAGTTTTGCACTTACCAGGGCTTTTAGGGCTCAGTGGTCACACTGATGCAGGGCTGAGTGGTGGGGGGCAGGTTGGGAGACAGTTTGAGGGGGTGTCTGAAATGCCCTTGCAGGGTGGAGTGAGGCAGGAGAGGGGGTCAGAGCTGGCAAGGGCAGGACTGCCCTGTTTGGGGTGCTGCGTGCACAGGAGTGCTTGTACCTAGGCTGCCCTTGCATGGCTGTCAGCGTTGCCGGAGCCACAGAGGTGATGGACTTCACTGTATCTCCCCTAGAAACTCCAGCTGGTGATGTTATGCCACAGCAGAGACTGCAGCCATCGGCACCACCGGACACTGATAATGACCAGCACAGGCCTCCTGCTGTACTGTCATTTTCCTTGCTACTTATGATGCATCTGCAGTCACCTCACAGATCCCAAATACCCTAAAGGCTGCCCCAGGTGCTGCCTGAAAGCTGCCAGCAGCTTCCGAACTCTCCCAAGCCCTCCCGCAAAGCTCCTACTGAGCCCCAAGCATTCCTCAAAACACCCTCTAAATCCCTTTTTTTCATTGCTCTGTCTCCCTGTTCTCCTCTCCATCCCCTTTCTGGATTCCTCTTCTCTTTTAGGCTGGAGGTCTGGCATTCCTTTGCCTTTGGTCAGGCTTTGAGGTGCCAGGGGCTGGTGGATGCTCAGCGGAGTGGATCAGCAGTGAATGGAAGGTGCTGCTGATCTGTCTCATTCAGACGGGGTTTAACACTTCTACAGAGATTTTTGTAGCTGGAGCAAGGGGCTGTGGATGTGTACTTGGGAAGAACTAGTGAGCCAAGATGATCTGGGGAAGGTATGGTTGATTGTGAAGGGGCTAATGGGGAAGGTGTCAGGAAGACAGAGATCATGGTCTCTGGGTACTTTGGTGTTAGGGCAGGTGCCTGCAGTAGGGTAGCCTGGAGTTGCTGTTACTTCTGTCTTCTGTGTAGGCTGTGACTGCCTCCTGCTTGCCTGTGCCCAGATGGGGCTGTCACAAGGTGCAGCTTGACTCGTGAATGTGATACTGGCACAGAACCTGATTTCCCATTGGATCTGTCTTTATGCAAACAGGTATCTTCCTTGCATCAGCCTCGTTCAGCTCCTCTTCTGCCTCTCTGTAGCAGCAGCCTGCAGTTGATTCAGCCTCTGGGCCCACTGTTGAGCCACAGAGCTTTCTAGCAGAGTCTGTTTGACTTGAGCTGCTCATGTGTGTTAGGCAGCTCATGACAGTGAAACAAAACCTTGTTTCTCTCGTGGCTGCAATCTGTTTTGTAGCCTAGTCTCTCTAGTGCTTGGAGTCTTAGAGGCTGCTTTCTGAATGGTCTGGAGTAGACCAAAAATTTTCAGTGCTGTGGGCGTTGGGTGCCTGATGTTTCAGTGGGAAAAGGGCTAGTGTGGTGCTAAGTGAAGCAGTGTAGGTGGAGTGTGGGAGGCAGAGGGCTGGAGTGTGGGTTGGCTTCCCTGCTCTGAGGTGGATGAGAGTGGTGTTGCTGGTGACAGTGTGCAGGGCTCTTGGGCATGGCACTGGATGGTTGCATGGGAGTCTGAGAGCTCTTAGCTTTCCTTCTCTTGCCTATGTTGAGTGAGAAAGCAGATAAGTGAGAGGGCTGCTTGTTCCCCCTTTCTGTATTACCTGTGTTTTCATGCCAAGTAAGACAAACAAACACTTCTAACATTGCAATCCCTGCCTGCGCTGCAGTTTCCTGGAGGAGCACCATCTGCCAAAGGCTGAAGACAACCAGGCACCTGAGCGGTCAGGTAGCTTGGACAAGAAATGCTCATGATGTCCTGAATAAGCCCAGCTGTAGTGTTTGGACGCTCTGTGTGCCATCTTCTGGATAGTCTGGGTAACACGAATGTTTGTTGGTACTGCAGGTGAGTTAGTGTTCATCGTGTGGCAGATGGGTTCAGTGGAAGTGCAGCTTAGCACAGTGCTACATCTTGCCTCTTGCATGTGGTCACATCTGAACAGTGGATAAAACCAAGCTTATAAACAGGAACTGTAAAATGTGAAGTGACTAAAGTTATGCTACACTCACAAGCAAAGGGAAAGTGCTTTAAGCTGTGGGCAGAAATTCCTTGGCTTCTCTTTCCTGCTTTCCTGCTAGCATGTGCTTTGTTTTTTCTTGCATAAAACAGGATTTGGAGGTTTTCTTGTGCAGTTTTTTTAGGATTTCTTGTTGAGGGCTTTTCACTTGGGTCTTGTGGTTTACTTGTTTATTTTGTGGAACTTGGTATTATTTATCAGTCAGGATTTACAGTTTAAACATTTACTGCTTAAGGCATAGGTTTTAAAATTTAACCTCAGCCCTAAGTTGTAAAGCCCCAGAAACCATCTGGGTTCTGAGATTTGTAGTTTTTCAGCTAGAGAACAGAGTGTAGAGCTTACTGGTAAATACACATGTCTACATCCTGAGATAATAAACTTTGGGCTATTGATTCCAGAGAGAAAGGTATTGATTAAAATTCCATTTGTTGAACTTCATGCCAGAAGGAAAAAGAGTTTAGTATGGATTGCTCTTTGTCCTTTAGATATGGGGAACTCTGATTTGCACAGAACTAGAGGGACCTTCAATCAAGGCATTGCATATGGTGCAGATCCCTTCTGTAGGGAGGTTCCACCAATGTCTTGGTCTTCAGAGCTCTTAAAGGATTTTTTTAGAATGAAATAATTCTATTAATCATTTCTGTCATCAAACAAAAGGATATTCACAGGGGAACTTGCTGCTCCTCTCTAAGATCAAGACCTGCCTGTATCATCACCAGTGCCAAACGGGAGCTGCTTATGGGCTCCTTTTTTTCAGTGAGCCAACAAAGTTTATTTTGTTAGCAAGGGAGAAGAACAACTGTGGGTTGGGAGACTAGGGACTGAAGGCCCCAGATGCAGACAGTGGGGCTAACAGCAATGACCCCTTTGCATCCAACGTGCTGTGCTGAGCAGGGGCTACGCTGCCCAAGGTCTGTTTGGGATGGAGCCACTGCCAAGCATCGCCTGCTGGGACCAGGACTGCGACAGCAGCTGCAGAGGGGGTGAGCAAGGACTGGGGGTCCCTGCAACTGGGAATGTCCTGAGGAATGTGAAACAAATGGTGGAGAGGCCAGCACACTGGGATGGGGGTCTGTGAGGGCTGGCTGGGGGTAGAAGTGCACAGGGTTAGCCTGTGACTGATACGCAGGTCTCCGCTGCCGCCTATTTTCCCTCCATTGCCTAGTACGTCAGTTAAGGGCACCCCCTTCTCTG